TTCTGCCTTCCACTCTCCAGTAACCCAGAATAAATTCAAAGACTTGTGTTCATGTCCCTGTAACCCAGTGAGTCTCCTGGGTACTTAGGACAGAATCACAGCTCCTGGACAGACGGTTTGTTTCATCATAAAGGTAGTGCCTCCAAAAATCTCTGGGTCGTTAGCAAAGGACAGCAAACCTCATAGCTCAGCCAGATACCCCTGTCAGTTCCTTGAGATTATTGCGAGTCTTTCATGATGTATCAATGTCAAGATGTCAGGCAGTTGACTTTACCATGTTCAAGACTTTAAAGAAATTCATCACAGTGGCAGCTTAGCTTCTAATCTTTTCCCTTTATATATATTCCAACTCATCTGCTCAGTGCAACACTAAACCTTCACTCCTCCTTCCCCCACAATGCTTCACTGGCTTCTTCCTCTTTTCATTTTATACCTCCCAGATCCTTACCTCATACTCTAATCTCTACCATCTTAGAAAAAAAACTGTCTGACTTATAGGTGCCAACCTTCCTCTTATTTGCTTCAACATTTCATCCCCTCATCATTTTAAAAATATTTTACTTATCAATGTTCATTTTATTTGTATGAGTGTATTACCTGCATGTATGTGAGTGTTTGTACATTTCATACAACAGTTCTTAATCAAATTCAGACCCCCTCCCCCATCCTCCCACCAGACCTCACGTATTCTGCCATACATTTTTTTTTTTTTTTTGGTCTTTTTGAGACAGAGTCTTCTGGAACTCATTATGTAGAACAGGCTAGCCTTGAACTCACAGAGATTTGTCAGCCTCTGCCTCCTGAGTGCTGGAATTAAAGGCATGTGCCACCACGCCCGGTCCTTCTGCCATACCTTTTAAGTCCTATCCAGTCAAGCATTTGTACCCAGATGTCCTCCAGTGCAAATTCATCTTCTGGAGTCTCATCAGCCTATCAAAAGATTGTTGGTAAGGCCTACTTTCCCTCACCCAGTAGTAATCAAAGGCCTACTCTTCCTCACCCAGTAGTAATCAGTCTCCAGTAGTCCCCATATTAGGGCTGATCTGCCACCCATTTCCCTTGCTCCACTCCCTTGGGCCCTTGTCTGATTGAATTGGCATGGGTCCTGTGCTCAATGCCACCACTGCCACAAGTTCATATGCTCAAGCTTCCAGTGGCCTGAAAGCCTCTGCTATATTCATGAGCCTACCCTGGCTCTTATAATCTTTCCCCCCCTCTCTTCCACAATGGTCCTTGAGCCGTGGGTGGGAGAGGTCTGATATAGGAATCCTATCCAGGAACATACATTCTGTAGTCTCTTATTCTTTAAAAGTTGGACAGTTGTGGCCTTTTGTGTGCATTGCATCCTGTTGTATAAGGAAGCTTCACTGGTGAAAGTTGAGAGATGCACTAGTTTTCTCTCTACCCCTCCCTGCCTTCTGCTATGTTCCATGAATCTTAGGTCTAGAAGTTTTACTGTATTTATGTCACCTAGGACAGAGCATTCCTCAGACATATATTTGCTGTGTTTGACCAGTCATGGGATTCTGCAGTAGCCTCCATCTGTTAAAGAAAGAAACTTCTTTGATTAGTGGTATATCATATACTTGTCTGTAAATATAAGGGGGCGTGTATGGAAAGGAACACAGTTCCAGACAGGAGAGACCTCCCTTCAAGTGGTTGGTCAGAGTGGTCCAAGAGAGTCCCAAAATAACACAGACTATTGCCAGAACTAGAAGATAAGACCTTACTGCTGAAGATAGGACATACTTTAGACACAGGAGTGGAGGAATGGAGTAGTAACTGATTAGGAAGTCTTCTACCTGAAGTTTAGCTCATAGTTCTGAAGGTTACTATGCAAGCTGTTGAGGGAGAAAAATCAATGATCCAACTCAGCCCTAAAGCCTAATAACCATAATGACAAGCACAGCAAACTACCTCTATTGGTGCAGTAGTAATATTATTATCTAGGGGTAATCAACAGCTATCTAATTGGACTTAAAGCCTTCTCAGTGGGAGTGAACTCATGGGTGGCACTGTAAGCTTAGCCAAAAACACATGGCTGGAGTGGTCATAGATCATGAAGAAAGTCCTATCTCTATCATATTCCCTCATCATTTTTTAGTTTTTAAATTAAATATATTTTAAATATATTTTAGCTGCTAAATAAAAATAGAAAAATGCAGCCATTATTTAACATATCTACCCTCTAAACATTTATGACTTCCATGTGATGAAAACATTCAAAATCATAGACAGCAATTCATTATAATATATTCCTGATACTTTTTATGATCAAATTTCTCAGATAATTCACTATTAGTTTTCTCTGCATGTTCACCAACTTGCAATCATGTACTTACATCCATTTCCAATGACATTGCCACAATGACTTTCTGGTAGCCAAAGTCAATTTAAGTCCTTTGTTTAATCCATAATTTGGCATTACTGTTGTGTCTGGCATTAATTGCTGATATTTGAAAAATCTCCTCTTCCTTGGTGCTCATGAAAACCACCAGGTACCAGTGTTCCATCCCTCATCTCTGACCATTCTTTTTACTTTCAATGCCAGGGATGGAACCCAGGACTCTGCTTATTATAGCAAGTGTGCCACCACTGGGATACATCCCCAGCCTTCAGGCCACCATTTATCAATGCTTTTCCAAGATTCTGTTTCTTTCATGCACACTTCTATGTGTGTACTCTGACTTTACCACTCTTTTTATGTTAGGTGTGTGACTAGTTTCATTCACATCATGCAAACCATCTGGTCCACAAATGCTAATAGCCCCTAAATTATGTTAGTATGAAGCAACAGACTCCTATATCCTACTGGCTAATAACCAACCGATCTCTAAATAATTAATAGCATCTATTAAGGACGCACTTCATGAAAACTACTTAGACTAGGCACTGCTGTAAACAAGCATTCAAACACGGATTAAGTCATTCTTCATAATAATTCTGTGAGGCAGGTGCTATCATAATCTTCATTCTGCGCATGACTGAACTGGAGTTAAGAGTGCCCCTGATGACATACTGCTTATACATAATGAAGCAATTTTAACCAACATATTAAATTATCTCTTTAGAAGTCCCACAAAGAACCAAAGATGGATATGTGCAAATTCCCTATTCTTTTTCTGTTTTTCCCTCAACTAGGCTGTATGTCTCTCCTCTGTTTTCCCCTGGCTTCCTACCTAGAATCTTCTGCATCTGTCTCCCCACTTATCTTACTGATTTGCTGCTTAAGGCCAAAGTAAGGCCTTTTATTTTTAAGGGTATAACACTTAGCACACTACTTCACTCATAATAGAAATTTATTTCTGTGAAGTAAATGCATTTAAAAATATTTAGTACAATATTTCTTCTCATCATTTGCTTCTCTGGTCCAGATAAGAACTACTCTTATAAATAACACCAAAATAGCTCTTTTTCTTCTTTGCCATCCTCAAGGCAGAGCCTTAGAAAACAATATAAAATTCTTTGGGTTTAGTCTTAGAATGAACTATAACTTTTGACTTTATTAGTTTAAATATTTGAATATGCAAAATTGCAAAAGAATATTTCCAACACTGTTATATTTTAGTCAGAAGAAAATATGTGTACATAAGAATGCATATATTGCATAGAGAGAAAGGGGGGCTAGGTCTTCACTTATGGAAGTAGTGGTGATTTTTTATGTAGAAAAGAAATTTATTTCATAATAAGCACTTACACAGATAGTCATGGAGAATAACAGGTCTGATGGTGAGACAGGTCAACCAAAGTGGAGATGGTATCAACTATAGTGGTCAAGGACTAACCACTATAAAACAAAAGCAACTCTTTATCAAGGAATAATTCATTTTTTTTAATTGTTCTTTTTTGAGACAGGGCCTTCCAGTAGCCTTAGCTGGCCTGGGACTCATTTTGTAGACTGGGCTGGCCTGGAACTCACAGATATCCACCTGCCTCTGCCTCCCAAGTGCTGGGATTAAAGGTGTGCACCACTATGCCCAGCAAGGAATAATTTAATTTTTAAAACAAATGTGAGCTATCAAATTATTCGTAACTTGACAGAACACTTGTGGTAGAACTTTCAGGCAAAACCATACATCTTTACAACTTGGTGCTCCCAAGTTTTAAAAAAACACAACAAAAACTATTTCACAGAAAGGAAAAGAATAATATAAGAGCAGCTCAAAAATATACTAATTATTCTTATGATTATTCTTTTATATATATATATATTATTCTATGTGTGTGTGTATTTCCTGCATGTATGTGAGTGCACCCGTATTGTGCAATGCCACGGAGATCAGAAGAGGGCTTCGGACTCCCCTGAAACTGGAGTTAAGGACAGTTTGTAGCCACCATGTGGGTGCTGGGAATTGAACCTGGGTCTTCTGCAAGACCAGTCAGTGCTCTTAACAACTGAGCCATCTCTCCTGCTCCACAATTATTCTTATAATTAGTGTATTTCTTGAACTCTTTTTATATTTTTTTCTTTTCTGTGAAATGGTTATTTTTTAGAGAATAAGACCAAAAGTTGACTTCCTTCATTACAAAAATGAATATTGGACTTTCTTTCTTTCTTTCTTTCTTTCTTTCTTTCTTTCTTTCTTTCTTTCTTTCTTTCTTTCTTTCTTCTTTCTTTCTTTTTATTTTTATTTTTTGAAGCTTTTACAACTTTATTAGAATCTTAAAGGAAAATCCTCAGGCAGGTGAGCTGGGCAGGTGAGCTGGTAATCTTGGAAGCTGCCTTGAGGAGGTGGCCATGGAGCCATGCAGGTTTAGAGCATGCATGGAAGTCAGACACATGACTGACTGGCAGCCACATGGCTGGGAAAGGATGCTTTAGAGAAAACGTGAAGGAACTACAAAATGCTAGGGGCAGTCCAAAGCCTTAGAAAAAGCATGTTTAATAAGAAAGGCATGAAGAAGAAAAGGAGAAATTACGCTTTCCTGAAGAATTGGACAGACTTACAGAGACCTACATGGCTGTGGCTGGTCTAGAAGTTCTGCAGAGATCTGTCTGGGTGTTCTTTTGGGAAGCACATATTCTAAAATTGGACAATACAGAGATTAGCATAGTCACTGTGCAAGGATGATATGAAAATTTGTGAAGAATTCCATATTTTTAATCTACTATATTATCAAGTTATACTACTCCTTGGCATATACTTAAGGGATTAATTCTACTGCAGAGATAATTGCTCAGTCTGGTTTCTTAGCTCATAATAGCTAAGAAATGGAAACAACCTGAATATCCCTCAACTGATGAGTGGATAATGAAAATGTGGTTCATTTGCACTATGGAGTTCTGAAAAAAAAAAAGAAATTAACAACTATCTGTAACTCCAGTTCCAGGGGATCTGATAGCCTTGTCTGTCCTCTGTGGGCACTTCACAACACGGGTGCCCTTACCTACATGCAGGCACCACACTCATACACATAAAATAATAAATATTTTTTTTTAAAATGAAATTATGAACTTTTCAGATAAGTGGATGGAACTAGAAATTGTTATAGTAAGTGAAATAACACAGACTCAGAAAAACAAAAGACATATGTTCTCTCTCATTTATGTCTTAGCTCCAAATCCTAAGATGTGAGTTAATATCCATTTGTAACCACAGGAGCCAGGAAAATGGAAGGGAACCATGAGGGTAAAGGGAAAGAAAAAGATTGAGGGAGGGGAAGTGTTTGAGACAGGTGTTATCAAGGGGGAAATAGGGAAGATGGTGATACTTTATCTGAGGAGAGAAGAAAAGAAGGTTATACAGGGGAAGAGAGAGGAAGTATACTTAGGTGGTATGAAAAACCAGAGGGAAAAGTATTATTTCATCAGCCTAATTAAAAATAATCATAGTGTGTGTGTGTGTGTGTGTAAGGTTATATAACAAAAATCACAGTTCTAGGCAGGAGAAACCTCCCATTGGCCAGGGTAGTTCAAAAGACTCTCAGAATAACACAGGTTATTGCTACAATCCTTGATTACCTCTCAGAACTTGAAGGTTAAGACCCTAATGCTGAAGATAGGACATTCTTCAAATACAGGACTTGGAGAAATCTAGCTGGAACTGACCTGGAAGCCTCCTCCTTGAAGACTAGCTCCCATAGTTCTAAAGGATACTATGCAAGATGCTAAGGGAGAAAAATCAATCAATGGCCTAATCCCAGCCTTAAAACCTAATAACCACAGCAATGACCAGCACAGCAAACTTTATGGGTACAGTAGTGGCACTTTTATCTTGGTGGTATTCAACAGATATCTAAAGGCTGCTTAATGGGATAGAACTCATGTGTGTTACTGTAAACATAGCTAAATACACATGGCTGGAGAGGTCATAGAGCCTAGAGTAAACCCTATGTCTGTCTCATCCCTACAAATATAATTTCTTACTGTATGCCAAACATATATCCTTATATTTACAAGCAAGTATCCACTCACCACTTATCAAAAAAGCTTCTTTTTGAAACAGGTAGAGACTATTATGGAATTCTACAATTGGTCACACACAGAGAATAAGTGTATGTGAGATTCCCTGCCCTAAGGGTCACATCTACAACAGAACCTCTATACCTAAGGTTCACAGAATATGGTGGATTAGGAGATAGAGAGAATAGTAATGTATCTCTCAACTCTCACCAGTGAAGCTTCTTCATGCAACAGAGGGTGATGAACACAAAAGGCCACAACAAGCCAAAATTTAGAGACTAAGGGATTTCAGAATGTGTGTCCCTGGGTAGGACTCACTCACCCAGGGCTCAGGGACCATTGTGGAAGTAGGGACAGAACAATTGTGTGAGCCAGGGGTGATGCACAACCATAAGGAAACAGAGTCATCCATGCTTCTGGGAAGTTGCTTGTACTAACTTACAGCAATTATGACACCATGCACAAGACCCATGCAAACTCAATGAGTCAAAGACCAGCATAGAGCTGGAGAAATGGGCACAAAACCCCAACCTTAGCTGAGGTGTTATTGGCAGCTGATCACTGCTGGGTGAGGAAAGTAGATCTTCTTCAAGGGAGTAATGCTAGATAGGCTGACCAGCCTCCAGTGAATGAATTCACACCAAGGGACATCTGGGTAGGCAAACTTGACTCTGTGGACCTTGTGGTTGGGCTATGGAGAGATGCAGATCTGGTTGGGATCTGAATATGATTAAGATCTATTGTACAAAATACACAAAAATTCTGTAAAATATATACATTGAAAGAAAAAAACAGAAAGATTGAATTATAAATTGCTAACATTTCTTTCAGATTGTTAGCATAGTTGGGAATAGAGAGTATTCAGAAGCCATTTGGAATTAAGTATTATTTTCCATCTAAGTTGAAATTTTGCAATGTATTAGACTTTACTGAAACTGATACTGATTTTGTGTTAATCTGACATAAGCTTGTGTGTTTGAATTATATAGATTAGACTTGTAAAATACACTGATGTGTCATTCAAGTGTCCGACCCGGCTCCAAAACATGGTGCAAACAGAAGAATTTAAGAACACAGAGCAATTGAACCAGTACTTTAAAAATTTTGCAAATGTTGCACCCAATTGCTTATTTTTCTTGAGACAAGATTTACAAATGCTAAATGCAAATGGAATGGAAGGAATTTTATGAATGCTTTGGATTATACCACAGCTTATATATTTATAGAATGGGTTTTGACAGGGGTGGCTATAGGTCTCACAGTGCAGCCCCTGCAAGCTTCAAACTCACAATTTTCCTGACTCAGCCTCCCGAGTGCTGGTACTACAGGTGTGTACCACCGTGCAGGATAAAAACGGGAATGTCTTTATCCTTCATTTTAGTGGCAGATTCATCATTGTTTAAACTATTTCTATCTTACTCACCCCTTCCCTCCTTCACTGTCTTCATCTCTCCCCCCTTCCCCTTCTTTCTCTCCTTTCTGCTCTCCCTTCTTTCCTTCCTTCCTCTGTCCCTTTCTCCCTTCTGTTTTTCTCTCTTTCCCTTTTTATTTATTTTGAGCAAGATAAGTCTTTGCATATGCCAGGCCTTTGACTGACAAATCCTATTGTTGAGTATACCATGGATATTTATGGTTTTATTCATACTGAAAGATAAAACAGATATTTATGTTCACCTAGAGTTTTGCCTTGTGCCTTTTAAGAGGGTATATGCACCTAACATTATCCACCTGTTATCTGGCTTGAGGATTTAAGCTTGACTGGCTGGATTTCTTTTTCACTTCTTTCTGCTCTGCCTTCGTGATTCCTGGAATTCCTCAAATGAACTATTGGCACACAAATGTTTTTCTCAGGGTATGCCTCGGAAGGAAATCCAAACGAAGAGAATGCTAACGTAAATTAAACAGTCACTTCTACCATCCAGCTAAGTATGAATTATGGTAATTTGATAAATGCTGTGAATTACTAGACAGAATCCAATGAGGTTACAGATACGTGAAGCATGAGTGATTAAATTTGGGGCTGGATTTAGAAAGTGAGAAAGAATTCATGTGCATCAAGACTAAAGAAAGGCATCCCAGGCAAATGAAGTGACTTGAATGAAGAATACGAAATGGAAAGAAAGACTGGAGCTGTTCCAACAATGATGTGTAGCCTGGTTTGACAAAAGAAAAAGAAGGAAGTCAGGAATGAAGGGCTCTTGATGATGCTGGGGACATGGTGAAAAAGACTTTCTATGCAGAACTAACATACTAGGTTTATTCTTTGGGGGCATAAAATTACAGGTACAAACACATGTTAAAAAGGCAAAGAATGAAGTGAGCTAGGACATGACATGCACAGAAAACCAATTAAGAGACTATTGCTATAGTCTAAGGCAATAAAGGAGCCTTCACCTAGTACAGCAGTTATTTGGGTTAGAAAGAGCTTATTGATGCTAGAGGTGTTTTAGTTAAAGAATCACAAGGATTGTAAATAAATAGTGAGAGAAGAGTCTAAGCTGACCTTAGAGTTTCTATGTTAAACAAATATTTGGAAAGCAATTCTTTCATTCCAAGATGCAGAGTTTAAGGGAAAGTGAATGAACTGATAGTAAATGCAATTTTGAACACAATATTACAAGCAGAGTAAATCAAAGGCAGCAGAGTAGGTGGACCCTGTGTATGTAAGCCCATTGGCTGCTTCCAGCTGTGTTTCCTCCTGGGGCAGGGGATTGCACTCACCTAGAGTCTAGTTCCTTGCCCTTAGGAACCCCCAAAGTCCTTTGCTTAGATGGTCCCAAACATACTTCAGGTCCTGTAAGACTGTTTACAGAACTTTTCTCCCAAGAATGAGCCGTACAGCCTTATCACACATTTCCATACCTGGCAGGGAGCAGCCAATGAACAGCTATGTGCTTGAGGCTCGAAGGACAGCACGTGGGCATGCTTCTACCTTGCCTGTTAGAGGACATGCTATGAGTTGATGGTAAAAGGCAAAAGCAGGTGGGCCATAGAATGAAAATTAGGGAGTGAGAGCTTGCTGGGCTGTCTATGCTGTGGAGATCTTCTAGGGCTCCAAAAGTTCTAATTTCAAACTCAGTTTATGAGATAATTAAGGAAGTATATATTTCAAAGTAAGAAGGCCATATATTTCACAGTGTATATTTCAAAGTAGGAAGACTATTAATTTATTTTATTTGGTTCATGACCCAAATGTTTAGACAAAATCGTATGTTGATTTCAATTTTTACTCTTCTCTCATCCTTCACAAATGTTAGGAGGTGATTCAATGAAGTGAAAAGATTAGGTAGGCTGGGCAGGATAGAAGGAAAGAACCAGTTCCCGAAAGTTGTCTTCTGACCTCCTCATGTGCACGTGTGCTCATGCAAACACACACACACACACACACACACACACACACACACACACACTAAGAAAACAAATGAATGAATGAATAAATAAATAAATAATAAGGATAGTATTTAAATGATAGGGCTAGAAATGTAGCGCAGTGGATAGAGATCTTGTCTAGAAGGAAAAAGGCCCTGGGTTTGATCCTCACTTCAAAGTAATTCCCTTCTTGGTTGTATAATGAATTTGAGGCCAGCCTTGGCTACATGAAACATCATCTCAAAAAACAAAGATCTCAAATAAATAATAATAAATAAATAAATAAAATGATTTGGTGATTTTATGAAGATTTTTCTCAAAAAAAAAAAAA